TGAAAAAGTTTTTTCATTGTAATGAAACATACAAATAGTGAATAGGATGAAATTAAAGTCATGTGTGGGCCATCGATTTCATTTGGTCGACTGACTTTATATCGTTGATGTCATTATGCTATATGAACATATTCCAGACTCGAGTATTTCTAGGAATGAATAATCTCAGACGAGGTAATGTTCTTGAGAATGGTACAACCAGAGTGTAGTTGCTGTCTGCTGGCCCACTTGCTGTGTAGAATCTGTCTCTTCGTTGTAAGCGAAGCGACGACAAGTATGGTACCTTGAGAGCACATCACTCTGGTGTTGAAGATTCTGCTGTTCTCTGTTCTATCAAAAAGTCGTAGATGAGACAGGGGGCAGTCAGTCCAAGAAAGTGCAACATACTTAAGGTGTGAGCGTACTTGTACCTCGTACAGATTCTTGCAGCCTCTACTGTCTAGGCAGTTATAAGATCTGCCTTAGTGCTGCTAGCTTCTTTGGCGCCTTACTTGCAAGATTTACTATGTGGTTTTCCATAGACAGTTTGAAATCAAACTTCATCCCTAGGTTATCAGCCTCATCCCTAAATTCCAACAAACTGCCAATCATTCTTACATTCTTACCTCTGCTCCAGCATTACCATCAAGGTGCCTAGAGAAGATTGTCATTTTTTCTCATTTTTTCTCATTTTTTCTCATTTTTCTCATTTTTCCCCAGGTCGATATAGCTGTGAGCTGGTGATTGATGTTACTAAGAGCAGTTTTTTTTTTTTTTTTTTTTACACAAGGTTTTACAAGGTTAGGTTTAGGGTTCCTAAGTCTCTAAAACTGGCAAATGTTTCCCCCTATATTAAAAATCGGGGATAAGACTTGTGCTCTCAGTTATCATCAAATGAGCTTAGCTATGCCTTACTAATATATTCTAATTTAATTTTATATAAAAACTGAGATGGAAAAGTACTTACAGATGTAATATATTTGGGTTTCCAGAAAAATCCTTCGACAATTTACCTCATCAAAGATTGATGACCAAAATAAAAGCGAATGAAAGAGGACAAACTTCATGCCGGGATAAATGACTGGTTCACAGAATAGAAACAGTGATGATTCTCATCGGAGAGGAGTTAGAGAGGTTTCCTCGTAAAGTATGGAGTTCCTCGGGGATCAGTTCTTGGTCCAGTCCTCTTCACAATTACCATAAATGATATCGAAGTAGGGATAATGTCCAAGAAAGCAGAATTTGCGGATGGCACCAAATTTGGGTAAAGTGTATCTTCCTGATGATAATGTTTGAGTATTCAAAGTGATCTGCAGTAGAATGGTTGGCCTTGTGGTCTGAGACGTGGAAGATGAGTTTCAACGTAGACAAGTACATTTTTGGGCATTGCAGTCTCAAAAATTAATAAATGTTTGGCAATGTGCTAACCGAAACAAGAAGAAAAAAACAACAAGGCTAACAGAATGCTGGGCTTCGTAGCTACAAACTTTTATCCAAAATTCCAGAAACTATATTAATTTTTTCCTAAGTGGCACTTATTAATCGGCATCTTAAATATGCCGTCCAGTTTTGGTCTCCAAACTACTTAAAAGACGAAAATGTACTGGAGAGGACACAGAGAATAGCCACCAAACTCATACCATCACTCATAAACAAACCTTACGAAGACAGACTCACAGCACTCAACCTTTTGTTCTTAGGAAACGGAAACTACGCGAACAAATTAAAAAAAAATACTGAAAGGCTTCGCCACACTCAAACATAAAGCATTGTTTGAAGTGTTGACTAAGTCCATAACTCGAAACAACAGATTAACACTGCCAGGCAGAAGCTGTAACATGAAAGAATGCAGTTTTTTTTTAATCAGAATTATAGCAGAATGGAACTAACTGCCCACTAATGACGTACTACCCACTAATGTTGTAAGCTCGAAGACACTACAGTCATTCAAGACAGGCACTTTGCAGGTATAGAATTCAACTCGATTAATTTTTTCTAGTGGGAGGAGTTACTAGAACCATCATGACTAATAAGTTAGAGACCAGCGAAGTATAGGGTATGGTGAGGGAGGACAGGAGCGAGATGTTGCCTGGGACACTCGCTCTCCCACCCAACTACTCATTAAAAAAACCTCACTATACTCACTCTAAAACATGCAAAGACTGTCATATACATACAAAAGATGGGCAATCTGAAGTCAACGGATTACCAGTGTGTGTGTGTACAGCAGATGCATCAGAACGATCAGTTGATAGCGAGGCATTAGTAATGATAGAAGTAAAGGTTGTGATAGTCTTAGTAGAACTGGTGGTAACCAGAAGTAGAACTACTGGAATGCATAGCTCTGTAAATGGCAGTGGAGTAACACGAGATGTGAGAGACAAACAGTACTAATTTATGAGAGACAGTTGGAGCTCACGCCTTCCATCCAGTTTTATCTCTCCTGTAAATTCCATATTATTCAAAATGGTATGGCAGTAGCTGGAAGGGGTGAAGAGTAGGGTAAGAGCCTTCTGATTATCTTTACTTGATCTATTCATTAGATAATACACAATAATCCTTAATAGTAATTACTCTAGATATGAAGAGATAGTTCATATCAGTAGATAGCCTTGGTGAGGGATTACAAATTATCTGGTGTGTTTCCCTTGCACTCTCTGTCTGTCTCTTACTCTTCCTCTCTCTCATTCTCTGTCTGTCTGTCTGTCACAGAGAGTCTAGTGCAACAGGCTGGTCCCGGTACCATTCTCGGCTGTGCTCTCCTTGCCTCAGCGCCGTACAATAACACACTCTATTAAAGCTGCACACAAGTTGTGGGTCTTAAATTGAATGGTAACATGCGAGGTTTGGTGAAGGTAGCAGCGGTAGTGACGGTGTCCGTGGTGGAAATGGAGGTAACAGTGATAATGATGGTAGTGGAGGTGGTTGTGTCGATGGCGGTTGCGTAGGTGGTAGAGATAACGGTGGTGGTGATGGTGATGGCAGTAAAGATTCGGGTTTTAAAGCTGTGGTAGTTGGAGTGGTGCATCACCTCCGGTGATGAAAAATCACTGGAGATGATGTAGGTGGAAAGGTGGTGCTATCCGTGGTGACAGCATGGTAGGTAACAACAGTTGTAACCTAATGGAAAAATACTGTTGAGAAAAATAGACATAGGCAGGAAGAAACCCTCTCAAAATGCTTATAGAAAGTACAGAAATACATGGTTAGGAAAAACAGACCTTTGGATCACTGTTAGTATATGTAGCAGTTAGGGAACCCTCTTGTTTTTGATGGGAAGAGAAATAGTAGTGTAAATAACTGCTTGAAGAACCAGATTCAAGACGGCACATTCGCTCCATTCCATGAAATAAACTGATATGTTCCATGTGGCTTGTGTTGTTATAATATACTTACCAATTATGTATTATTAAGAAGTGTTCTGGTGTTAAGTGGAAGAGTAAAAATTAAGGATGTCAAATTAAGGATGCCTAGGCTAGTTTAGACTAGCCTAGTCTAGTCTAGCCTAGCCTACCCTACCTTACCCTAGTCTAGTCTAGTCTACCTCAATGCTATTTTCTTTTAGTGACTTACTAAATTCCTAGTATAACATGTCATTGTATAGTGAAACTGTTTCTATAAATTTATCGTCCACTCTGCATCTTAGCCAAGTTCTGGCTTATAACCTAACTTATAGTTAACAACTTAGCTAATTTATCTCTCATGTTAATAATGCTTTCATTAGTGCTTTTGACTATGATGTATTAGTTGCATATTTTCACTTGTATTCTAATTTGTGTAGCTTTAGTATTAGTATTAGAATTGGTTTTCTCCGCCTGTTCTTTCTCGTATCTTCTCTGCTAACTTACATTTTATTTTTTTGTATAATTTTTTCCCATGTTTGTAATTTTTTGTTTTTTACTTTTGTCTGTTTTTGGACCATTATTTTATTGTATCAGATAAGGGTGTTTACAAGATTTTTCGTCGATGATGTTTTTACCTACTTAGCAAGATCGGTTAAAATTTTTTTTGTTATATAACAATTTAACTTTGAATTTGGAAGGAAAAATTGTAATACAATAGCCAATTTTAGGTTTAGCGACGCCATAAACCGAAAAAAACCAACCATGATTTAAGGTCATTCCGGGGGCGTGGAAAAATCCTTTGGGGAAACCCAAAACATTGTCAGAGGTTTGGGTAGCTGTATAATATAAACAGGGAAAAAATTTGGGCAATGATATTCGGGTAAGGGAAAGGTGCACGGGGCTGGGGTGGATGGTAATTTCTGGTACGAAGTGATGGTTGAAGGAGGTAAAAATTTAAGTCATTCAATAAGTGTTCAGTAAGTCAATCAAGTGATTCAGTAAGTCAGTAAATGATTTAGAAAATTTGGCAAGTAACAGTAGTCAAAAGTGATTCAGTAACCCAAATCATTCATAATTTTGTCAAGTAAATCAGTAAGTCAGTTAACGTTCAGTAGGTCATCATGTCGTTCAAAATTTTAAAAAGTGATTCAGTAGTCGTCAAGGTTCAGTAAGCAGCAAGTGTTTCCCGTAAGTCAGTTAATCTTCAGTAAGCAGTCATGTCTTTTCAGTAAGCCATCAAGTGATTCAGTAAGTAAATCAAGTGTTTTCAGTAGTCAGTCAAGTTTTTTAATAAGTCAGTCAAGTGTTTCAGCTTAAAGTGTTCAGTAAGCAGAAAAATCGTTCAGTAAGTCAGTCAAGTGTTTCAGTAAGTCAGTCATGTGTTCAGAAGTCACTAATTTTTTTGAAAGTCAGTCAAGTCTTCAGTAAGCCCGTCAAGTCGTTCATAATTCAGTCAAGTGATTCAGTAAGCAGTTAATTGTTTAGTAAGTCAGTAAAGTCGTTCAAAAAGTCAGTCAAGTCTTTCAGAATCAGTCAATGATTCAGTAAGTCATCAAGTGATTCAGTAAAGTCAGTCAAGTATTCATAATCAGTCAATATTCATAAGTCAATGTTTCAATAAGCATCAAGTGATTCAGTAAGTCAATGATTAAAAAAGCAGTCAAGTGATTCAGTAAGTCAGTAACCACGGGCTGGTTTTTTGAGACCCTCGACCGGGGGTTAATCCCGGCCGGGGTAGGTTTTTGAAGTCCCAAATTTTTTGATGGGGGGGGTGGTGTCTTGGGGGGGGCGGGGAGGGCGGGGGTTTCCCCCCAGCTGAACCAAACAAGGGGCCGCTAGTTGGGGTTTTTATATGAATTTAACCGGTTCAAACTAAACCGATTAAACATCTACGACTTTTACATAAAATTGGCCGCAATTCTTCAATCGTGCTACCAAATCGTGCCAAATAACCGCGCAAATGAGGGTCTACTGTAGTTCAGGCCAATTGGTATTTTTAGTGATAAATCACACGCTCTTCCGGGTTCAAAGGGAGTTTTAGTGATAATCACCACGCTTTTCCAGGTTCAAATGGGGGTTTTTTAGGAAGCCCCACGCTCTTCCAGGTTCAAATGGGGGTTTTAGTGAAAATCCCCAAAGTCTTCGGGTTCAGTTGTTCCTCTGCTTAGAGAATTGCATTGTAGGGCAAAAACCATCCCAACTATGTAGAACGGGGAAAAAAATAAAAAATCACTTTGCCCTGCAAAAGCCGGGTTTATTTGGAAACGG